GTGTGAAAGCAGATGCAACATAGTATCTGCCCGGCTCTGCTATGATCTTCACTCCAGAGTCTGATGGGAAATACTTGTCCAGGGCTGGGTTGATCACGCTGGTGATCTAATGCACAGGAGAAAGTAACCTTTCATTACAGGAATTCATCTGGGGAAGGAAGGTTGCAGGTCTGCAAACATCTCCCTGGATAGCAGCCTGCATAGCTCTAGTGCCCACTTCGCTTCTCACCTGGTACCATCTCTACCCTTTCACATGTCCTGGGCAGGCTTTTAGCCAATAACAGTACAGCATAAACTACTACACTCAAGTGTCCACACGCCAAGAAGCCTTGTTTAGCAAATATAGGCCAATATGGTATCTAGAAAGAGCTTTGCAGCTGGACACTCTTGGTTCATGCCAGTGATCCCAGCTTTAAGGAGGCTGAGACCTGAGGATGGAGGTTCAAAGTCAGCTCTGGCAGAAAAAAAGTCCCCATGAATCTCTGATTTCCAATTAACCACTCAAAAGCCAGAAATGGCGCTGTGGCTAAAGGGGTAGAGCCTTGACAATAAATAGGCTCAGGGACAACGCCCAGGCCCGAGTTCAAGCCCCACAACCGCCCCCCCCCCCCACCAAAAACAAAACAAAACAAAAAACAACTTTCAACTCTGCCTAAGCCACACAACTGTAACAGTGTCCATCTATTTATTTAGCCAGTCCTGGGGCTTGAACTCAGGGCCTGGGCACTGTCGTCGAACTTCTTTTTTTTTGGTCCAGTCGTGAAACCTGAACTCTGGGCCTGGGTGCTGTCCCTCAGCTCTTCAGCTCAAGGCTAGCGCTCTACCACTTGAGCCACAGCGCCACTTCTGGCTTTTTCCTTTTTGCTTATGTGGTACTGAGGAATCGAACCCAGGGCCTCAGGCATGCAAGGCAAGCGCTCTACCACTGAGCCACCTTCCCAGCCCTCGTCGAACTTCTTTTGCTCAAGGCTAGCACTCTACCACTTGAGCCACAGCACCACTTCTGGCTTTTTGAGTTTGTGGTACTAAGGGATCGAACCCAGGCTTCCTGCATGCTAGGCAAGCACTGTACCACTAGGCGTAGCATAATTTCCTAATGTGTAATCACTACCTCAAAGACTTCTTGCTGGGCACTGGTGGGTCAAGCCTGTAATCCTAGCTACTCAGGAGACTGAGATCTGGATTGCGGCTCAAAGCCAGCCTGGGCGTCCAGGAGACTCTTATCTCCAATAAACCACCAGAAAACCGGAAGTGACACTGTGGCTCAAGTAGCAGAGCACTAGCCTTGAGCTGAAGAGCTGAGGGACAGCGCCCAGGCTGAGTTCAAGCCCCACAACGGACCGGGAGTTGGGGGGACAGAGAGGGGGACTGACTCAGGGCTAGGAATGGTACCACACCTGTTACCCCAGCTAGACAAGATCTGTTAGGAAGCCTAAATAAGCAGATGATGTTCAGGCACAGGCAAAAAAAACTGAAGCTGGAGATATGGCTCAGCAGTAAAGGCACTGGCCTCTAGTAAGTAGATGAGTTTAAATTCCAGAACCACAGAGGGTAAAAGAAAATACTATCAAGTAGGTGTAACTATGACAGAAGTCACTGTTACACCAAACAATTACTTTTCCTATTTGTCTTACCTCTTCAAATTTCAGCTTCACATCCTCAGATCCAGGGAAGCCACCACCAATGTCAAGCAGATGCATGCTGAAGCCAACATCAGCCTAGAGTGAAGAAAGCCCAAGTCAAGTAACTGCGTGGAAACCGCAGTGCGGTCCAGATGTCTGGAACAGGAAAACAGGGGTTGGGAGCCGATATCCTAACGGGTCATGTGTACTCACCCCCATGTCGAAGACACAGCGGGCATCAGAGACAGCCTGCACGAAGGTCTCTGCATCAGTGCAGCCACTCCCCACATGGAAGCTGAGGTGAGAAAACCAGACACCATGTCTTACGCTTCTCAAAATTCCAATAGGAGGGCTGGGAATGTGGCTTAGTGGTAAAGTGCTCGCCTAGCATGCATGAAGCCCTAGGTTTCATTCCTCAGTATCACACACACAGAAAAAGCCTGAAGTAGCGCTGTGGCTCAAAAGGTAAAACACTTAACTTTGAGCAAAAGAAGCTCAGGACAGTGCCCAGGTATGACAAAAAACAAACAAACAAACAAAGAGGTAGGTGCTCAGTGGCAGAGTGCTTGCCTCGCAAGTATGAGGCCCTGGGTTCAATTCCTCAGCACCACATAAACAGAAAAAGCTGATAGTGATGCTGTGGCTCACGTGGTAGAGCAACAGCCTTGAGCTGAAGAGCTGAGGAACAGCGCCCAGGCCGAGTTCAAGCCTCATGTGACTGACACTAGAACTGGCTACATTGCTTACTGTCTTAACCTCCAAGTATGCCAAGATCTTACCTGACACCAATAACGTCAATATTTAGCTCTTTTGCTCGTTCCAAAAGAAGTCTGCTGGTTTTGAGTGTGGCACCAAATTTAACACTGAGGCGACAGACTGCTTTGGAATCATCCGTGGCAATCCGCAAAACCAGCCTGGAAGTGAGAAGAGCCAAGGTCAAAAATCAAGAGAAATTGCCCCCAGTACTGCTGCTAGACACTCGGGATTTGGAGCTGACGTGGCTTTTAACATCAGCTGAGGTTTGACCTCTTTTGTCAGGCACAGAGCTGTAAATTGGCAGCTGTGTGCCTAGAGCCCCATGCCGCTGTGCTAGGAGCACTCACTTTGCCTTTGGGTGTGCTCTGGCGACTTTCATCAGCTCCACTTCACTGTCGAAAGTCATCATCTGGACTCCGCTGCTGGCCGCGTACTTGATCTGAGACACTTGCTTACAAGGGTTTGCATAGATGATCCTGTTGGAAGGCACCCCCAGGCTCTGCACCAACTGTATTTCAGTCTGAAAAAAAGACTCATCAGTGTCAGGCTTCCTGTGTGTGTGGCCTGGTAAACACAATAAATAGGAGGCAACGGAACTCCTGGGCATCCTCCTCAACTCTTACCACCCCACCAACACAGGACCATCAGTCTAGAAAAACCTCTAAAGACCCTGCTTTTCTTTGCTTACCTTGCTGGCACAGTCAAAGCCGGTGCCGACGGCGGCCAGGGTGCTCAATATGGCTCTGCTGTCATTACATTTGACTGCATAAAAGGGAGTGACTCGGGGAAGAGCTTTGAACCATCTGAGGTGTTTCTTTAGAATGTCTCCGAGGTCTGCGACATAAAAGGCATCCTTGTCATCCTGCAATGATAAAGGATACGGGTAGGTTAACAGTCATGCAGCCATAACAGGTGCTTCTTCTCTCCCTTTCCTTCCTAGCATTCAATGAACCCATCAGATCATAGCCACTGACCTGTGGTCACCATTAGCACTGGGCAGTCCACAGCCAGTTAAACTCTAGATTCCCTAACACATGGCTGTTCTGGCTGGGTGCTAGTGAGTGGTCTGTAATACTAGTGAGTAGTCTATAATACTAGCTGTTCAGGAGGCTGAGATCTGGGGACTGTGGTTCAAAAAGCCAGCTTAGGCAAAAAAGTCCATGAGACTCTCATTTCCAATTAACCACCAAAAAAGCTGGAAGTAGAGCACAAACCCCAGGGACAATGTAACAGGCTCTGAGTTCAAATCCCAATACTGGCACAAAACCAAAAACAAGACACATAGGCTTTATTACATCACTACATTTTCTTTCCAAGACCACACTGGTATTTCCCACAAGCCAGGTGTGCCAACTGCTGCCAGCACAGCACATGCCTCACAAACTTACAGAAGAAGAAACTTCATTAATTTTTTGGTCCAGGATGTCCTTGGCAGTAAAGCCTTCATCAAGGATATGGCAGTCAACCTCTTCCTTATTAAAGTGGCTCATGGCTGTGCCTCTGAAATGCAGTAAGCTCCAAGCAGCTGAAGAAGTTCACTCTGACGCTCTAGCCAAGCCTCTTCTTAACAAATGAACCTGCAACAAGCAAGTGGCAAGTTGAAAACTTCCATGGAACACCAACACATGGAGTGAAGAAGCAATTCTCCAAGAGAAGCAGCAGTAGAGCAGTGCTGCTCCATGAACGTGCTATCTACCTGGGGATCTCACTGGACTGAAACATCAGGCCTTGTAACTAACACAGCACACCACGGGAGACTGCAGGTCAGGCGCCCACATTTTAAGTAGATCACTCAACGGTGTGGGAATCACATACTCCTGGGCATTGAGTGACGTGACCTCATAAAACTCTGCATTGAAAACCCAGTGTTTACAAAGGAGCACACTAAAAATCCCATACATAATGTGGTCTATCTTCAAAGCAGCCTGCAAAACACCTGCAGAGTACGTGAATACTGCATCATGCAGGGTGCAGAGGCTTCTCTCAACATAGTTTGATGGATGAAGGCTTATCAGTCTTTCAGAACTTCTTCAGTTCCTTACAAACTACCAGCATCACAACCATTAGTCTTATGCACAATATTTTTTTGGCCAACAGCAGAGAAGCAGCTAAGCATCGAATTACTGAGTGATCATACATTTTCTAACAACTATACGAGCTAGTACTAGCTGTGTAGGTATTTTTAGAAGCAAATCTCCAAATCAACACAGTGTATTGTTAGTTGCTGTTCACTGAGTAGAAATCACTATTCTTTAACCACTGTTGCCTACCAAACTGCACTTCTGAGAATTCTAGCTGTCCCTACTTGTAGGCCCCAAACCTGTGTTCATGGCATCTAGGATGAGCACATGGGGGTCATTTTGGCTAACCTTATGAGCAGCAAAACCTTACTCATCCCCTCACCCCATTTCTGGTGCCAGTCCTGGGACCTGAACTTAGTGCCTGGGCTTTTTTTTTGCTCCTAGTGCTCTACCATCTGAGACACAGATTCACTTTGGGCTTTTTTGGCTAGATTAACTGAGATAAGTTTCAAGAACTTTCTGGCCCAGCTGGCTTGGAAATTGCGAGCCTCAGATTTCAGCCTCCTGAGATTACAGGTGTGCCACCAGGGTCTTTTTTTTCCTCTGTGAAACCCCTCTCAGTGGCAGCAGCCCACAGGTAGAGGCCAGGCAATGGTTCGGAGCCACTGTTTGCTCCGGCGTGGGACCCTCTATGAGAGGCCCATGGGGACAGGCCTGCCACCAATCCAACCCATGCATGGCATAACTGGCTTGAGGCCTCCACCCAATCTGACTTTTTGGCTCTGTCCCCCTCCCAAGCTGCCGGCTCAGCCCAGGGGAACCAGCCAAGGGCCATTTACAAGTGACTGGCAAATGGGCTGTTTTATGTAAGGTCTTGTTAGACATTTTCGAGGCTTAGAAAGCCTCTTCCTCTTCTCCTTTGAAACCCACCACCCGTGAGTTACTTTGCTTTCTTTGTATCGTTTAAAGCTCTACTGAGATATATATTTTTTTTTTCTGGAAAAAAGAGAGACCAGCGAGCCGCTCTTGAAGACGCCCTTTCGGTTTCTGCAGAAAGTCCGTTTGAACGCCAGCAGCTGGTTTCCGAGACCGCAACCTCCAAAGGGACCCGGCCGACTCGATAGCAACTTGGGAGGAATTCCTCCGTCAGTCCCAGTCGAGCCACCTTCGGGGTGCCAGTCCAGCGAGCCCCCCACGTCCTTTGTCTTTCCCCCAGGCACTCGTGGGGGGCCCGGGCGCCCCCCGACTTCACCCAGGGTTCCGGACCCTCGACACGGTCGGCCCTTTTCGAAACCCTCCGCCGGGCTCGCCGCGGCGCCGGCCGCGCGCTCCGCGTCATGGCTGCCGGCTAGCTCCCCTCGAGGGCCGCGCCGCGCCCGGCGGCCCCGGCGGCTCCCCGCCCGGGCCGGCTCCGCTCCGCTCCCGCACCCACCTCGGGACGCGGAGGCAGGGGGCGCGGCGGGCGGAGGCGGCGCGGGGCGGCCGGCTCCCCTGCACCTGCCGCGGCCCCGCGCCGCTGGGCTCCCGGGAAATAGCGGCCGGAGCAGCCGGGGCCTCGCCACGGCTTCCGGCGCGGAAGCCCGGCGCTGACGTGGCCCCGGGGCCCGGGTGGGTTCCGGGGAGACCGGCCGAGCGCGGGCCGCACCCCCCGTGTGCAGACCGGCACCCTACCTCCTCCCACCCCGAGCTCGCAGGACGCGGCCCCCAAGGTCACGATCCCGGGGCTCCGTCCCCCCACCCGCCCTCCGCTGACCACGTGTCCGGCCGGCGGGCGCGGGCGCGGGTCGGTCCGGAGCGGGGACACGTGGTCGCGGCGCCCGCCCGCAGCGCGCCGCCCGCCCTCACCTCAGAGCGCCCGCGCGCCGCGCACCGGCCCCATGGAGACGCCGCCGCCGCCGCCCGGGCCGGAGCCGGAGCCGAAGCCGGAGCCCGAGGAGCGCGGGCCGCCCGCCGCCGCGCCCGTCAGCCGCCTCGCTCCCGCCCGCCGGAGACGCCGGCCCGAGGTGGCGCTGAGCTGCTGGCTGAGGGCGGCCGGCGGCGGCGGCAGCAGAGACTGACAAAGCCCGGACCGGCGCCGCGCCGCTACTTATACGCCGTGCGCGTCGTCATGGAGACGCACCAGCTCAAACCAGCCGCGATCGGTTCCGGCCGGGAGGCCTGGGGGAGGGGCGGGGCGGGGGCTCGGCACTGCCAACCGGGGCCCGGGGCGCGGAGGGAGGGAGGGGGGAGGGAGGGAAGAAGGGCGGGGAGGGGGGGCGGGCGAGTAAAACGTCAACGCGGCGGGACACCGCCCGCCCCGCGCGTGCCCTCCCGCCTGGCCCGCGCTCCGGCCCCCCCCCCTCCGCCCCCGTCCCGCCCGGCCTCGCGCCGCGCCCTGCGGCGGGCCCCGCGCACGCGCACCACGCCGCGGGCACTTCCGGCCGCGAGGGACCCGGCACGCGCCCGCGCGCGCGCGCCCGGCCGCGACCGCGGTTGCCGGGACTCCGCGCCTGCCTCCGCGCGTGCGAGGCGGCCTTTCTCCCTGCGAGTGAGGGCTCGGCGCCCCGGGGCGGGAGCGCGAGCCGGGGGCGGGGCGCCGGGCCCCGTGGACCCGAGCCGCAGCGGCCCGACCTGCCCGCCGACGCCGGGCCCCGGGGAGCGGTCTCACCGCGCCACACCGCTCCGGCTCGGGGAGAAGCCGACAGGTGCCCGGCTTCCCCCGGGGGGCCCGGCGGGCGCTGCCCGGCCCGGCCGCCCGGCCGCGGGTGCAGCTCATCCGTGCCCCGCAGCCCCCGTGCCCGATCTGCAGCCTCCCTGGACGGGGCCCTCACCCCGGCCGCCCTCGGCCGTCCCCCCGGGCAGGAGCTGGACGTGGAAGTTTGTTTTCCCTTTCAGGTTTCGCCGTGGACTTTAAGGACAGTCCTAGGGCGTCTTGGAGAAGGGGTGACGGGCCTGGTCCTGGGGGGGGGGGCGGGATCCCTAGCAGGGCTCAGTGCTCCCAGCTCTGCCCCCCCCCCCCCGGGGGCTGTGGCCCATGCCTCCTCCTAAGGACAGCAGATGGCCTCAGGAATCTGCGGACTCTGGATAGACCTGGGTCACCACTGCCAGGCTGGGCGCAGCCCGCGATTACTGATTTGAGGAACGCATGCGCACAGGGGCGAAGGAAGGAAGGGTCCCCGTCTTCCCAGAGCAGGTGTGGCTTCCGTAAAACCGGAGGCCGGGGTATCTGTGAGTGGGGGAGCTGTAGTCTAGAATCTGAGCGTAAGAGATAAGGATGCGCGTCAAAGATCAAGATGGGTTGTAGGAAGTGGCGCTGGGGCTCAAGTGGTAGAGCGCTCGCCTTGAGCTGAAGAGCTGAGGGACAGCGCCCGGGCCCAGAGTTCAGGCCCGACGACCGACAAAAAGGAAAAAAGATGGGTTGTGCACCTTTTTCTAGTGAGTCTGAAGTTTTCCACAGTCCTTGTAAGTAGTCTCTGTAAACATTATGCCCACCTTGGGATCACCCAGACCTGAGCTCCTCCCAGCCCTGCAGTTCCTGCCATACAGCGGGCTCCTCTCTCTCTCTCTGCCCAGACCCACCTGAGCTCCCATCTACCTCACTTCCTACCCCCCAGACCCTGCTGCCTAGATAGTGAAGGCCGCCATGTGCTCTATGGGGCAGATATGGCTCCTCTAATAAACCTTGTAATACTCTTTCTCCTGTGCCTGCTGCCTCCGCGTGGTCCCCTGGCATCGGTGGGACAGACCCTTTCAGTCTCCACTTGAGCGAGCTCAGTTCTTCCTGAAGGATGGAGCGGGATGAACTGGCAGCCAGAAGCATATAGGGGACTGCATGGATTGGTAAAGAGGAAGAATTTAGCCGTGCGCCCGTGGCTCACACCTGTTATCCTAGCTACCCAGGAGGCTGAGATCGGACTCCAAGAGACTCTTATTTCCAAGAAAACCAGAAATGGCACTGTGGCTCAAGTGGTAGAGCTGAAGAGCTGTGATAGCATCTAGGCCCAGAGTTCAAGCCCCACCACTGACAAAAAGAGAGAGAGAGAGAGAGAAGGAATGGGGAGAGGGGGAGCTCTCCAGGAAGACACCTTTTGTTTTCCCAGAGCGCAGGCCACCTGATGACCCGTGCAGCAAAGCAGGGCCAAGTGTGGGAAGGATCACAGGCCTGCCAGCGGCAGGCATGCTGTGGGCAGGCTCGGGCTCCGCCAGGGCCTCTCTATGAGTCCCCAGGCAGGGGCAGTGACTAAATCTGTCCCTAGTGAAAGCCCAGGGCTTTGTTTTCAGCATATTTACAACAGGCTTCATCCTTGAAGAAAGCCCTGGGCAGGAGGGAGCTCAGTGTGGGAATGCTTGCCACGTGCCCCCCTCCCCGGCAATGGGACCGTTTTAAATGATGAAACCCAAGGCCCAGGAGTGTGGGGTGCAGAAACACAGTGGGTAAATGAAGCACTCCAAGTCACACTGGGCTTGCTACTAAGAGCTGTGTCCGTAGTCATCCGATCTACATTCCAGAACCTTCTCTCGCTTTTTAGGGACTCTCAGCCCCTGATTGATGAGGAAGCCCTGGCTCTGTCCCTCCTCGGGGACTCCCTGTCTGTAAACTACGGTTGTTGAGCTGAATGAAAACTCAAGTTATCACCTGGAGCTGGTGGCTCGTGCCTGTAATCCTAGCTGCTCAGGAGGCTTGAGATCTGAAAGTCCATGAGACTCTTACCACCAGTGAACTATGAGAAAATCAGAAGTGGCACTGTGGCTTACAGTGGTAGGGCACTAGCCTTGAGCTTAGTGACAGCACCCAGCCCCTGAGTTCAAGCCCAGTGACCGACAAAAAAAAAAAAAAAAGAGAAAAAAACCTTGTTTTCAACAGTCATATGCTAGGAACCTTCATCTTATCGAATAAAGCCCTGTATCAATCCATTGACAGCCTCTTCTAACACCATCAGATGAGTATCTGATGAAGGTGGAATTTTTTGGGGGTAGGGATAAGGTCAGTCCTGGGACTTGAACTCAGGGCCTCATACTCCATACTCTCCGTTTTTGTTTGCTTGAGGCTGGTGCTCTTACCACTTGAGCTACACCGCCACTTCCAGCAATTTATTTTATTTTTTTGCCAGTCCTGGGGCTTGAACTCAGAGCTAGCCCTCTACCACTTGAGTCACAGCACCACTTCCAATTTTTTATGTTTATGTGATACTGACAAATCGAACCCAGGGATTCATGCATGCTAGGCAAGCACTCTACCACTAAGCCACATTCCCAGCCCAACATCTAGCCTTTTGCTGGTTAATTGGGGTTAAGAGTCTCATACTTTTCTGCCTAGGCTGACTTTGAATGGCAGTCCTCAGATTCCAGCTTCCTGAGTAACCTGGATTATAGCCACCAGTGCTTAGCAGCATTTCTTATTTACATGAAAGGGTTTAAAAACATACAGGGCTGGGAATGTGGCTTAGTGGTAGAGTGCTTACCTAGCATGTATGAAGCCCTGGGTTCAATTCCTTAGTACCACATACACAGAAAAGGCCAGAAGTGGTGCTCTGGCTCAAGTGGTAGAGTGCTGGCCTTGAGCAAAAGAAGCTCAGGGACAGTGCCCTGAGGAGTGGCAACAACAACAAAATGTATAGTGATCACAAATGTAAGGCATCACCTTCATTGGAAAGAAGTAACATAAAAGGGAGTAGTAGACACATTGTTATGTGTTCATTTACCCAGTGTTGGCATATTTGACACAGAACTTTCTGGACAATGTGTTTGTGTCCTTGC